CTGTTACCAAGAGTCAATTCTTTGTTTTCAAGGTTACACCCCACTCTGTGTGGGTTTAGAATAAGTCCTTGTGGAGCTGGGCTGGAAGAAGTTCACAGTGTGGCACTAATCTGGATTTGGGTACCATGCCATTCACTGAGCCCTTCTCAGTGCTAGGGGCATGGTGCTGGGTTCATGGCTGACTTAGGATGGGTATCTGCCTCCCAAGGTTTCCTTCATATAAGTGGTGGGTAGGCGGCTTTTCTGTATCTGAATCTTGAGAGACGCTGAGCCTATGGCCATACATAAATTTTCCTTATAGGCTCTTCACACAGATGGGACCCTTGCTGCCCCACCCTAAATGATACTCCAGGGACCCTGTGGTGGGAAAGCAGATTTGACCACATCATAACCACTATACACCATGGCACATTCCTTTTGTCACCTATAGACTTTCCATTAGCTTCTTTTATTCCTCCTTGGGCTCCCTTTGTGGTCCATTCATCTTCCACTCTTTACCCCTCTTCTGAATATATCTCCTACACAAAGACTGAGAGCATTTCCTATGAGAATTTCCTACTCCTGGATGAAATGTGAAGAGAGTGCTGACTTCTGGTCAATCATAACTTGGATAAAATATCTTAAAAATATATATTTTAAAAAATATTTAAATACTGAAGGATATAAAATTCAAAGTGCGAAGCAACCCATACCCTGTACTCCATTACCTAGAGGTAACCATTGTTTACAAAAACTTCTTGGCTATTTATCCATAACTTTTCTATGCATAAACAAATTATATATAGAATTATTTTATACACATTGTTTTGCAATTTGCTTTATTTTTTTAGCCTAACAGTATATTTTGAATAACTTTCTACATCAGTCATTTTCCTAATATATGGATCAATGTACCATTAAAATGCTTAAATTTTAAAAGAGAATCAGGTACAGTCCAAACATATCTCTAGTTTTACTTTGGACCACTGTAAGAGTTAAGGCAATGAACTCATGTTTCCTCATCTATAAAATGGGAAAAAGAGTGGGTCTTTTCCACATTGTTCAAAAGGAAATGGACTCTCTTCCCTTGTTCTACCTACGAATTTTGAAATGAAAAGTGTGGTGATAATAAATAAGATCATCATTTTGAGACTCTGAAAAAAGAGATGTTATAGAAACAATCAAATCTTTGAATTCCAGGCCTACTCATTGCCATCGAGTCGATTCTGACTCATAGCAATACTATAAGACAGAGCAAAACTGCCCCATAGGGTTTCCAAGGAGCAGCTGGTGGGTTCAAACTGCTAACCTTTTGGTTAGCAATCGAGCTCTTAACCACTGTGCTACCAGGGCTCCTCCAGACCTACAAATGTCGATAAATAAAAATTATCTCAAAACAGACCAGATCAATGGGCAGAATCTACTTTTTTATTAAATGTTCCAAGCAAGAGAATCCCAATTCTTTCCAGCAACCTATTCTAGGCTTAAAATAACAAATGCTATAATATTTTTAAACACCCTAATCTCTGTATTCTTCCACTTTAACCTCATTTAATTTTAGAAGAATGTTTTATCGCTTTTAAAAAACTACATTCTGGGAATGCAATTTGTCTCTCAAATACACCTTTAATTGGTTACAGTGCTACAGAGTAGGTTAAAATCAGCTGTTCTACAAACACCAGAGTTTAATTCTTTCTGCTGAAAGCTTTTTAAAGTTGACATCAAGTACATTATATATACTGGGAACAAAATATGGAATAAATGCATGAATTTTA